CCTGGTCGGGCCTAAGTTCCCTTTTAAAATCAATGAAGCCCTAGCTGGTTTGGCTGGGTGACTGGAATGTTGGCCTGGAGACTGATGGGTCTTGGGTTTGATTCCAGTCAAGGGCACGTACATCTGTTGCAGGCTCGGTCCCCAGGCCCAGTCAGGAGGCAACCAATCTATGTGTCTCTCTCACATAGATGTTTCTCTCTCTTCTTTCTCTCTCCCTCCCTCCCTCCCTTTTGCTCTCTCCGGAAAGCAACGGAAGAAATATCCTTGGGTGAAGATTATAAAAAATTTTTTAAATCAAAGTCAGAATGAATATGGGAAATTTGTACAGGGGAGGAAAGCTCACATATAGCATTTTTTGAAACATATGTAACATTTGAAAGCCAGCTGGACTCTTTAGGGTGTACCCCAGGCCATGGTTGTTTTCCTCCATTCACCAGGACAATTAAAATTTAGTTTTGGTGAAAATGAAAAAACTCTACTGAGTACACCCCTTCTCTCTTCCTTTCATCTTCTCTCTCCTCTTCCTACATCCCCAAGTCACTCCCACCCCATCACAGTGATGCTCAGGTCTTGTGAATGAGCAAATATTGGACCAATTAGCTTTGGGACTAGAAGTGTCTACAGAAGGGTGATTCACAGTTACATGAATTTGCTAACTGCTCTTCCTAATGCAGATAGAAGGAAGGAGAGAGGAAAATAAATCTGTTCCTTTCCTTAGAAAACTTGATTCAAATGTATGGGGTGAAAAAAAATAAAAAAAATAAAAAAAAAAAAATGTGTGGGGTGGTCACAAAGCACTAGGCCACCCTCATGAGGCCCTGCCCCTGTGTAATTCCAGCCCCAGCTAGTCTTCCTGGGGAAAATCCCTTCTGCTTTCTGGACCCCAGTTTTCCGATTTATAAAGTGCAAAATGATTGTCAAAAGACCTCCCAGCATGAGCCTTCAGGGTTCTAGGAATGTGTGGCTTAGCACCTTCTCTGCTGCCCTGACTATCTAGGAACAAGCATGGGGAGATAGGGCAGAAGTGAATTCAGTAGAAACAATGGGAATATCACCTCATTAGGGAGGCCTTCCATGATTACACCATCTAATGATGTAATCTATCTCTCCAGTTCTCTTTCTTGCTCACTACGTCTTTTTCACACTCACATACACACATGGTTGCTCCCTCCCCATTACCCTGTTTTATTTTCTTCTTAGTACTATCCAAAATGTCTTATATATTTGTGTACTTAACTATTGTCTTTCTACACTCAAATGTTAGTTCTAGAAGGGCAAGAATCTTGCCTCTCATATCTCTGGGCCTAGCCCAGCACCTGGTACACAGTAAGTGCTTAGTATATATGTGTTGTCTGATGAACGAAATGAATGAACAAATGAATGAATGGGTCTGTGGGTGGTATCCGAGCTGTGCCAAGCATGGCTGTGATCTGTACCAACTCTTCCATGAGGAGCAGCTGAAAAATAGGGCTCTGGAGTCAAGAGACCTGGATTTGAAACCCACACTGCCAATTAGTGGTTGTATAACCTTAGGCATTTCACTTGGCCTTTCTAAGCCTTGGTTTCTTCATCTGTAAATTGAAGATAATGATCCCACATCTCAAGGTGTATTTTTATGAATTAGAGGTGGGTACATAAAGTGCTCTGGTGCATAGCAGGTGTTTAGTAATTGTTAGTTTCCTTGCTTGCTTTCTTTTCCTTCCTCTGCTGAAGCCTAGAGGTAGGAGGTCAAGGGCTTGGAGATTCTGGACTCAGCCAAAAGAGGTTGCTTCTTTCTCTCTTTTAAAATTGATTTTTGAGAGGGAGAGAGAGAGAAACATCAATGTGAGAGAGATACAGTCATGGATTGCCTCCCATATGCACCCCAACTGGGGACTGAACCACAAATCGAACCCATGACCTTCCAGTGCACAGGACAGAACAGAAGCTCTAACCAACTGAGCCACACTGGCCAAGGCACTTATCTATTTCTTATCTTTCAAGAGAAGGTAGAACAAAATAGCAAGCAAGTTCACTGAGGACAAAGCAAGGGACTTGGCCAAAGTCACACAGCCAAGCAGTGGAGTAAGCAGCAGGGGCCCTCCCTGGGGACCAGAGGAAGCCCCTGGTCCCAGGACAAGATGAAAGGAGGGGATAAGGGCAGGATCTTGGTTGGGCTGGACTTCCAGAAAAAGGAAGTAGCTGCTCTAGTCAGAGAGTCAGCCTCCTGGGTTCTAGTCCTAGGTTTGTCAGAGGCAAGTTGGTGACTTTGGAATACAGTTTACTATTTCTAGGTCTTGATTTCTATTTCTGTACATTAGGCATATTACTCCTTGCCCAGCCTGCCTTACTGAATGGAAATGTTCTGGAAAGAGGACCTGGCCCTTAGCGGTCTGCTTAGGGCTGGCTGGTAGTGTGTGGGTTCTTGACTTTATGTAGGAAAAATTTCACAACACGAGTCCAGGTGAATTGTAGGGGATGTTTATTAAAGGTGGGGACAGTGAAACAAGGGCAGGCCTAGGTTAACAGAAGGAGCTGCTTTGGCTCGCTAAGAAGTCGGAGAAAAGGGGGCCTTGGGGACAGGTTTGAGGGGTTTGCCTGAGACAAACTGCCATTGCCCATTGCTGCCCTGGTTGTAAGCCTCCTGGGGTCCCTTAGAGTTTAGGAGATGCCTGCCTGTGGGGGAAGGAGAGGGAGAAGGGGAGGGGAAGGCGCCCAGGTGCTCTTGGGAGGGAGAGTGAGCACTAGATGTTCATTTTTTGAGGGGTTTTAAAGGTTGGACGTTTAGGGGAGGTCTTAGGGGAGGATCTCAATACAATATTCATCAGCTTTATGCTGATGTAACAAAATGAGGTTTATTCTCTTAACTTCATCTGTCCTTGGGTACGGTTGGCAAATGGTACTAATTGGATTCCTGCCACCTGTCTCAAGTGCAAGCCATTTACTCTTTCTTTCCTTCATTCCTTTGTTCCTTCCTTCTTTTTTTTTTTTTTTTTTTTTGAGAAATTACACCTGTAAGAATTTATTAAAAGGGAATATTTGAGCCCTGGCCGGTTTGGCTTAGTGGTTAGAGTGTTGGCCGTGCACTGAAGGGTTCCAGGTTCGATTCCAGCCAAGGGCACATACCTCAGTTGCAGGCTGATCCCCAGCCCTGGTTGGGGCACGTGTGGGAGGCAACCAGTCAATGTGTCTCTCTAGCATCCGTGTTTCTCTCTCTCTCTCTCCCTCCCACTCTCTCTGAAAAGCAATGGAAAAGATATCCTCAGGTGAGGATTAACAACAAAAAAAGGAAACATTTTAACATATGGGCAAAACAGGGTGTACATGTATATACATCACTGCGTTATTGTTGTTTTAAAAACTGTAAACAACTTAAATATCCAGCAATAGGAGTCTAGCAAGAAGTGTTATGGTATGCTCATAGAGTGAAATAATTTCCATTAATTAAAAGAACCTCCACATGACAGTCTCAAAATTTCTTTTTTTCTTTAAAACCATTTACTCTTAATTGAGTGTCCTTGGTTTAGAGAAGGTAGGATTTACCAGATGGCTGAAAACTGCTGTTTAACTGTTTCCCTATTCTGCTTGTCCTGGCTTACTAGCCTGTCTCAGAAGTGTTAGGAGATTGATATTTAATTTGTTATATTGTTAGGAGCATGATATTTAATTTATGAGAGGATATTGCAGTGATAAATCAGGCATACTCAATTTCTAAAATTTTGCCATAAGAGCATACATTTAAATTCAAAATAAGATTAAAAGTAACAATAATAATAATAAGCTGCATCCCTCTGGGCTCTGTAAAGGGGGGGGTGGTGGCTTGTAAACATATTATTTCAAAAGAACATATGAAAATCTTTGGCTAACTATAAATAAATCAAAATTTAAAAAATACTTACTGAGCACCATCTCTGGGGTGGGTGAGGAAACTGACTCAGGGGGTTAGTGACTTGCCTAAGGGCACACAGGACCTGAGAAGGTTGACAACAGGCTGGCAGGAAAGATTTCCGCCAGCCGCTCAAGAAGCCCCTGAGAGACTTGGCTGCAGAAGGGCCTGAGACGGGCTGGGTCAGGAGAACCAACCACCAGCTCCAGCTTCCCTCTATCCCCCAGGCCCTAGAGGCCCTGGGTAGTGGAACGAGCAAGAGCCCACAGAGTCTACGGCCCAGGGTCAGCACTGGGGCCCGACTTGTTCTCTGTGTGACCTTGGGGGAGTCATGCACCTACCTGCCCTCTCCGAGCCGTGTTCCCCTCCTTTGAACATGGACTTTAAGGCTGGCCAGGCTGCAGTTGGCAAGGGTCGATCAAGAGAGTGCGTTAAGAAGTCCCTTCCACGGTATACTCTTGAGTTTGTCACCTTTCTTCAACTCTGGGAGATAGCGGGAAAGCAGGAGGAGCGCTGTGTGAAGTTGAACAAGTGGCGCGATCTCTCTGGGCTTCTGAAAATAGTGGATGACTAGGACCAGGCCAGGTGATTCCTAAATTCCTTCCAGCGCCAAAAACAAAAAAACCTGGAATTCATTAGCGGTCCGACCCCGCCGCAAACCACCTATCGCTCCCTCGCGGCTGCCGGGGGAGAGCGAAGCCCTTTCAGTCCAGGGCCTGTTCCGCCCCCGGCCAATCACCGTGAACAGAAGTTCTTTAAGGACCAAAGGAGGGAATTCAGCAGAGAAGGAGGGCGGGACAGAAGCGTGCCTTCCAGCCAATCAGAATCCCCATGACTCTGCTGACCAATGGCAGGATCGCCTGAAGGCGGGGCGGCTCCGGCTGTGAGACAGCTGCCGGAACCAATGGGCATGTCGCCCGCGGCCTATAAAAGTCGGCTGAGCCCGAAACGCCAAGTTTTAGGGTCGGTAGGTCGTCGCCTTTGCAGGTGTGCCCTGGGATTGCCTCGCCGTCCCTGCCGTGCGGTCCTTGAAGCCGCGCCCCCTGCTTTGGCCCCGGCCCAGTCGCTCTCCCTGCCCTTCTCCCCTTAACCACCCCCCGGTTTTTGCCGTCGGGGCTCCGGGGCAGGGCTAATTATGCCGTCGGAGAGCGGAGCTGAGGGCTCGGACCAGGTGGCTGCGCAGGTAGGGACGGCTGCGGCCTCGGCGGTGGCC